GTACTGAAACCGCCAGCTAATGCAAACTAGCTGAATCAAAGCACACTCCATGTGATGAAAACAGATGGCACTTCTATACTGGCATTTTTACATTACTATACAAAATAATAAGTTATCAGAATACATGCATGTGTACTACCACTATATTAAATAAACTAAAAGTTGGACAAAGAAGGCTATGAAGTGTACTCATACAGAACAAGTGGTGAAGCAAAACTGTCATTACAAAAAGGGGCTACTAGTACTAAAATGGCACCTCGTTACCTTTTTAAGTCAGGCCAACTGAAAAACAAATGGACACAGTACATTGTCGTACAATCATGGAGGGTCACTTGCTTGTTAATCCATCCAGTGCAGCCACTCATCTACTATAAAGACCGTTATGTACTTGTGTAATTAGTAATATTACTAAAAATAATATGAGATACAATGTATCAAATATGCACGTTAATTCACTGATTAAGTGAGACAGGAAGACCCAGCATCACAGCAAAAAGCCCAAAACATTCAAGCTAAACTCTCAAAATGGTAATATAACAAGGGTAATACTAAAAATGGCATTAGTTTTGTTTCCATGTTGTTCGTAAACTAAGCTTGCCTGTTTATCTTTTTTTTTTCAAAAGCAAATACAACTGTTGTTAACAAATGCCAAGGCAATACATCACGCTCGATTCTTTATGAGATTTGAGAAGACATCAGAGAAATATCTTGTCAGCTAGTTGCAAAGGTAAGTTATGTTTTTTAGTCATTTCTCTGAAGCACCTACAGGGTGTAGCTATCCTGGAGAAACAGATTGACACAAAAATAGAAAACTAAAGGCCACAGCAAACAATAACCAATGAGCCACAAAGGTTCGAATCAAATTGAGGCCCGGAATGGAAACATAACAGAGCACAAGCTGGCCCACCATTGCGTATTGCAGAAACGGTTCTACCACCAAACAGACCTGATATTGAAGAAAGCAGTGAACAAGTGACAGAGAATACATATAAAAGTTCCCTTCAACCGTACCTTCCGGCACAGATCAAATGACAGGATCCAGAGGGTCTACCGTCACATGGCACAGCAGATCCTCCAGAAAGCTTCCCGTCTGTTAACAAACTGTACCTCCGACAGCCGTCCGACCATCGTCTGCACAGCTGTGATCGGGGTGTGGAACGGCGTATTTTAACAAAGACAAACAGCCCCCAAGCTACCCCTCAATTCCGAACCGCCACAGAAAACAAATCACAGGGACACGACAACCAAACCTTCTCCCAACTCTAAAAATATGATGAGCAGAGCATGCTTGGAGTTGGAATGCACACCCCTGTGGATCCAGCTCATAGACTTACCCTCAAAGACCCCAACTCTACATAGTTATACTACCATTACAGGCCCCCAGTACATTCCCTACGATCCTTGACAATTGTGCTACTCTAATTCTTCATCAAGTAGCACTTTTGTTTTCTGTCTAATGTGATTAAGTTGGCAAGGTAAGTTCATACCAAATGCTTGTAGCCCTTGGCATCCTTGAATTATGCTAATATGTTGGGGGAGTAGTAGACAGCAGCAGCGCGCTAAGCTGCTTCGTGATGATCGGAGTCCTTTCAGCTTTTATTGCCCTCAAAGCAAGTCAGTTGCTTCTCTACCTTTATGTTAATTGATAAATGAATTAAATGTTTTTGCTATCAAGTTAGCTGCATCCACTGACATGCACAGTGCAGGGAGCAAAGCAAGATCGGTACAAGTTTTTCATTACCATAACTTCTAGTGGGGCTTGACCCAACAACGTGGTCCAATCTGGAAAGGAACACACAAATAAAACACACAGTATATTTGGATATCCCAGAATTGAAGAAAAGTAAATGGATAGCTGCTAGCGTTACATATCTCGCACATTGTAATGTGTAATGTTCTATCCACGCGTACGATTTGATAATGAGCAAATATAGGTTCACAGTTAGTATCCACTTAAATAGCTACTAAGGTGCTAATCATGAGAACTCCCAATAATTATCCAAAGAACTTGTTTCGTATCCTACAATTTTCAAGGAGAAGTGCACAGTTAACAAAAGCTAGGCTAATAGAATAATGAATCCGATGATCACTGGATAGGGACGGGAAGAGAGAAAAAGGCATGATTGATGCTATTGCTAATTCAGTGGATTCTTATTTACTTGCTATTTGGCTATTTGCTAAAAGGTGCTTATCTTTAATCAGCATGTGGCAAAGGACAATTCGATTCATTTGAACAAAAAAAAGCACAACATCAAATCTTTCATTTCCGTAGGCTGTTAGTGCTAAATCAAATGAAGACACCCAGTTTTCTTTTTCTTTTCTTCTTTTTTTTTTTGGGGGGGGGGTTGGATATGGAACTATTTAGCAAATACACACCTACAATATAGTTGAACAAGCTAACACCCTTTAGCACTTAAGCCAATGGAACTGAACAAGATCTGGAAAAAACTGGGGAGACATGTTTTACAAAGCTCATTTTGAAGTTCCCTTAAAATGAACATAAGTGACTACCAGTGTTTTTTTAGGGCAAATGGTCCAGTCATATTTATGTACATAAGCATAATATAGATCATAATCGACAGACTGTGTTATTAAAATTAATGTTGGCATATATTTTTCTCAAGATACTAATATAAATATCTAATAGACTGAACATTATCTTTCTGAAAATAAAAGATTCAAAAATTTTCTTAAGCATCAGCTAAACACAAACTAGAGTGATATCATAATTTTTTTTATTGAACTCAAAAACTTCATCTATGAAGGTTTCACACCAGAGCACCACGATAATGATTACTATGACAATCTAATGTGTGCATTTATTTGTTAATGCTTATTCCCTAACTTTTAAGCATAGATCCTGCCTGGCATTCAAACTTGGCATATGTGGTCAATGACACGAAAAGGACAAACGCACAAAATTTACTAATAATTTATAATATAAACAATGTTTATCAGAAATCACAAAAATATTCTTTTGAAGAACCAAAAGGTTGACTAACCTATATATTACAAAATTAATTAACGTATAACTTGTGACAGGCCACAAAGAAAGATACCGGCATTGGAATATGGGATTCATACCTGTTGTGTCAGGTGCAAGAGCAGGGACCTTGATCATGACATTTCATCCAAAAATCCAAGCCATCACATGTCGTTCACATTATTCTGCTCCTCTCTTCTAAAAGTGCAATACCACATGTGTAACAGGGAACGGTGGGCTGGTAGTCTGGGACTTTAGGCCAATAGAAATGTGGCCAACTTAGTTACTGCACTGGTCATTTCTCCAATCCTCCTTATTGTGCCAGGTTCCACCAGCACAAAGGCATTATCACCTTGAACTTATAACATGAACTGTACTTCCTGTAGTCTGGCATGGATAGGCTAATGGAACAAAGAAGCCGTTTAAGAGCAAGAACAGTCCAGATACATCATATACGAGTATGCAGAAGGTAAATGAAGCAGATATATCTATCTATCTGAAGCCTGACACCAACTCATCAATATGCCACTGCTTGCCTAAGCCAAATAATTGGTAAGTTACTGCAATTCCATAAGAACAGCTAAACACAAAGCTGTCAATGAATGCCTATTGCACAACAACCCTGCATGGTATGGGGAGTGAGGACCATATTATCACTGTAAGCATAGCTGATGGCAGAACATACTTCAGGCCCATGCTAGCCCAGCATTTTTTGGTATTCAAATTCAGTAATGAGCATGTTTACTGGATCTGAACCTGAGTTGACTGCTCTGCTTTCATCCCTGCTTACATCCGCTTTATCCCAAATTCCCAACGCAGTTGTGATTTAAGGGGTTATAGCTCTGGCTGCAGGATAGCCGATACCTATTTTAAACAGACCTATCTCAGTATTTCACTGTAAAAGTCACTTCGTCATAGAAACTAATTGATTTGCCCTCTGCAGCTGAAGGATCAACTTGAGCTGAGTCAAGAAGCTGCTATCCTGGCCACATAAAAAAGCAAAAGTGTGATTGAATGCAGTCCAGTAATACAGTAATCTGAGTTTTTTTTTAAAAAAAAGTAGCCAGCTGCTCAATGCATGGAAAGTTGGTATTTCTCAAATACTGTCAATGTATTTATTATTCATGTTGTCAAGTTTAGAATGTAGTAAAATTAGCATATTCAATTTCGATGAAGACAGATAAGTGTACTTAACAGTGAAATCTTTTACTACTAGGCTATTTGATCTGGAATTATCTCTTGAGTTATCGACTTCACATGGACAAGGTATGTAGAGTCTACACGAATACTAGTACCATAATTAGACAAAGGCATTTAACTGGTAACAGAGAGAAGTCATCAGTTCATGTACAGGTTATTTGAGTGCAGTTTAATCTTCAGGCATATCAGTCTTTCACTTCTGCCTCTCCAGTCCCAAGCCTATCTTCTGATAAGAAGGATGCAGTCCTGTCATCATTTCCCCCTTCTCATCCCATAAATCATTTTAATTTTTTCAATCCCCACTTCTCACCTGATTCTATCTCCTAGCAACATAGCACACTACTGTGATTCTATCTCCTTTTGTCAGTGCACATGTGTTTGCTTACAGTTAGGAGCCTGTAGTTTTGCAGATAAAGGCAGCACTTGGGTACCGGGGACTGAATACTTGCAAGCTAGTAATTATTGTATCAGTATGTCCAATACAAACCAGAAGGAGATTATGCAATGCTGAACAAATCACTGGAAGCAATGTAGTGATCAGAGAGTTTCGGAAATGAATTAATGTTACCATACCCTTTTAAGAATAACTTATTACTACATTGTTATTTACTACTCCCAAAATCTAATAGTAATACTACAAGCTGCTGCACGGCAAAATCAAATGAAATGTATGGCCACAAACGCCACGATTAAGTCGCATTCGGTTTTTCCGCGAGATCAGAATTCGGAACTAAGTAAGCAATGTACGTTGGTGGAAGTGGAACAGCAATGGCTGCCTTCGCAAAAGGCCGAAGGCATCATGCCCGTAGATCCTACACTAAAGTGCATCCTTCGACCGGGGCACAATCAGCTCAGTTCGGCGCAAAATTGGCCCTAACTTTTGCAGAAATCGGTAACCCCACCCCTTTATCTCGGCGGCTGCACCTCGCGCCGCTGCAGGGCGCAGCAACAGTCAGGAAGGAAGAAGATACAGCCGCCCTAGGGTGGGGGCGCGAGCCCGCCATATGATTGGGGCAGGAATCTGGCGAGATCCAAGCAGGTAGAGACAAGGCGCGGGCGGGGATGCGAAGCGAACAAAAATCCAGGCAGGGAAAGTGGGGGCGATCATGTACCGGCGCCTCCTAGGATCGTGGATCTTGTCGCGGCCCGCTTCCGCTTGTCATCATCTACCTCCCGGCTCCCGCATCGCACCACGTCGCGTACACTCCCCACGTACGCGCCGCTCACGCGATCCATCCCACTCCCAATCATTCGCGGCGGCGTTGCGTTTCGCGGTGTCGCCATCGCCTGCTTTTTTTTTTTTTTTTGCCCTCGGTATGGTGGGATTTGAATGGAGGCTGGGTGGGAGGAGGGCAGGACACCTGGGTCACTGGCGCCGCGGGGTCGGTCGGTACGAGAGTATGGAGTGTAGGATGAGAGGGTCTTTGAAGCCGCTTTGTTACGGAAGTTTCATAAGATTTTCTTCTGTATTTAATAGCCCGTCACACGTGTATTTTTTTTTCATGACACGGCAATATATATTTTAATAAAGAGAAAAAATAAACTCTCTTGTCACGGTTATCAACTCTTTATGAGTTTTAGAATTAAATACTAATGAAATTTTATATTAAGAATGGGTGTTTCATCCAAGTTTCATTTCATTCTATATCATATAGCAGTCTTAGAAATAGCACAATAAAACTCTCAGCTGAGATTGGCCTTATTATTGCAACTGAGAAGCCGATTGTGTGCGTAAAACGGTTAAGCGGTGTGAAATATTTACGCTATCCAGAACTTTGGCTAGCGTAATTGTGTGTGTAATTATAAAAAAGATGATGTCTTAGGCATCGTTTAGTTTCTCCCCTAAAGTTTATTTTCTATCCCACGGAATGTTTGACACATGCACGAAGTATTAAATATAGACTAAAAAATAACTAATTACACAGTTTACGACTAATTTGTGAGACGAATCTTTTAAGCCTAATTAGTCAATGATTTGACAATGTGGTGCTACAGTACGCATGTGCTAATGGTGGGTTAACTAGGTTTAATAAATTTGTCTCGCGGATTACTGACAGATTTTGTAATTTATTTTTTTATTAGTATCCAAACATCACATGCGACATCCTCATGTAACACCCGATATGATACCCCAAAACTTTACACCTTGAATTTAAACAAGCCCTTATTCCATATGTAGGAAGGTCACTAGTCAGTTTATTCGTCCCTACTATGGATGAAAATGGTCGGGAAAAATGTCTTAACAATTCCCGCTCCTGTATTTTTTTGCTGGGAACGGGAACGGAAACGGGAAGGCCGGTCGGAAAAACGAATCCGATATTATGGGATATCGGGAACGGAATATTTCGAACGGGAACGTGTCAATTACGATTGGGAAGCGGTAACACAAAACGGAAACATCGATATATGTAACCACTTGAAACAGTGAGCTCGATGCAACAATAGCAACCATGTATAATCCATATGCAAACAATAGCAAACAGTGAGCATAGAAATAAAAATTTGGACAGATGACAGATGATCATTGCAAATTAGGCAATTAGCAATTAAAAAAAATTAGAAATCGTATCATATAGTTTATACTTACTTTGCGGCTGCTTGCACCTTGCACAGTTGCGCTTGCGCCTATAGATTTGCTTGCTCACAAAGTCGCAGCGAATCAGTGGTCGCTCGGGCTCGGCTGCTTGGTGCTCGCTATTGGCGGCCACTTGCCAGACGCGGCACGACGACAAGCAATACGATCGCAGCTCGCCTCGATGTCCTTTGTCCGCGATCGCTCCGCTTCGAATGATGAATCGTTGATCGGGATCGCTCGCGGGGAACTGGAAGCGATGCTGACGCGAGTAGCGAGGCGTGAGGCGCCGCCGCCGATGTTAATTTCCTCGCTGCGACTCCTGCGAGTCGTCTGCGGCCTTAAAAACGGGAAATTCCCGCGGGAGTTTTTCCGACCGAATACGGGATCCATTAATTTGGTCGGAAAATCACTCTGACCGATTTCGATCCCGGATCCGCCGAATTTTTCCAGATTTCTTCTCGAATCCGTTTTTTCCCCGAGAAAATGATATCCGGTCGGGAATTCCGGTGTTCGGTGTCGGTCGGTACGGGAATTTCCCGTTTCGGCTTTCATCCCTAGTCCCTACCAACTCACGTGATGTAGATGAAAATTAACAGGATGAGAAGGTCACTGGTCAGTTTATTCTTCCCTACCAACTCACGCGGTGTAGATGAAAATTAACAGGATGAGATATATATGGCTTGTAAATTGTCAGGTCATTATAAATGATTGACACAGTACATAATGCTCGAACTAGCTGAAAACACTGTTCTGACTGAATTGTTGTGAGAGAAAAATACTGTTTCGGCTGAAAAAAGAAGCCGTGGGGTAAGCCGAACAGGGCCTACGGGGGATTGGGGCTGCACAAAATGCTCGAACTCGGATAGGCTACTCAAACTCGGCTCGCGGAAAGCTCGATTCGAGCTTAACTTGGACTTTTTTTTATAACAGCTTAACCTGAGCTTGATTTCAAGCTGAGCTCGAGACTGAATGAGCCAAGCTCAAATAGTCTCATCCCATGTATCTGTCATATTTCATTTAAATCCCATTAAAATTTCTCTTCTATTATGTTACAATTTGACTAATGTAACTGATACATCTAAAAGATTCAATTTGTATTGCTTTTATGTAATCAGTTTGTAGAATTGTTTTATTGCCTTATTATTTATTTACTTGTGAAGTATTTTACACTTAGGGCTTGTTTGGATCCTTGAAATTAAATTTATTCTAATAATTATAATTTAGACATAGATTGATTAAGTTAATATAGTTGTATATGGAATATATTTGTTTATTTATTGTTAGGCATATCAGGAACATACTTATATGTTGTATTTCTATGGTAGGAAAGTGAGTTGAAGAGTAGAATAATAGCATAGTAATTTATAGAATCAATTTTCATCTCATACCCTATAAATTTGAGATAGGCTTTTTTATTAGCTTAAAAAAATTATGGAATGTTAAATTTCAAGTCAAATAGGCTAGTCCATTAAGTAGATTTTAATTCCTCTCAAATAAAAGAATCTAAACAGCCCGAAAACTAAAGGAATCTAAACAGCCCGAAAACGAACCTTAGGCTCAGGCCTAGTTAAGCTTTGACGGAGCTGAGCTCGAGCCTCGTTGAAAGGTCGACAAGATCGAGCTTCTATTGAGCCCGAGCTTGAGGTGGCAAGTTCACTAAGCTTAGCTTGTTTATTGCCCTAGTACTACCAAAGAGCTAGACGGACACATGGTAGCACTATGGTCGCTCGCACATGTTTTAATTTATGTAATGCAATAGAAAATATATAGTACATAAAAAGTGATAATGATGCTATGCAGTAGAAAATATGGCACTTGAGAACTGCTAGCGCAAGAAAACCAAACCCCCTAGACTGAAATTATATACGAAAACAATAGGTCAAGTCCAACCAGATTTAGCTATGTTGTCACGGTAGTACGCCAATGTTTGGACGAGAAGGTCAAAGGGAGATTCAATAGGACAATTAATGGCCTTAGTATGGTTTTAAGACTATTTTTGACATTCTGCTATTGTTCGAGTTTTTTTTGTCACGAAACTCTAAAGGAAGAAATCTTTGATAACCGAACTATTAATATTGGACAAGTTTTGCCATCTAATAGTTTTCAAATGCGGTCTTGTATTTTTTAAAATATAATATAAACTAGTTTTGTCGGGGATCGATACTAGGGTACCCGAAGAGGAGGAGCAAATAACCATCAACATTGAAACAACCGAGCAGTCAAGGGCGCGACTATAGCTCCAACCAACACCCAGGTGTGCAAACCCCGCCTCGCCCGACCCCTGAGGGTTGGCTCCACCTCGCCCGACACCGAGGCCACGAGCTCCGCCTCGCCCGACCCCTGAGGGTTGACTTCGTCTCGCCCGACACCGAGGCCGTGGGCTCCGCCTCGCCCAACTCCTGAGGGTGGTTCCGCCTCGCCCGATGCCGAGGCCGCGGGCTCCACCTCGCCCGACCCCTGAGGGTTGCCTCCGCCTCGCCCGACACCGAGGTCGCGGGCTCCGCCTCGCCCGACCCTTGAGGGTTGCTTAACCTCGCCCGACACCGAGGCCGCAGGCTCCGCCTCGCCCGACCTCTGGGGGCGGGCTCCGTCTCACCCGACACCAAAGCCACGGGCTCCGCCTCGCCCGACCTCTAAGGGCTGGCTCCGCCTCATCCAACCCATGGGTTTGGGCTCCGCCTCGCCCGAGCCTTGGGTTTGCGCCCCGCCTCGCCCGGCCTCTAGGGAGGAGCTCCACCTCGCCCGACCCCAAGGCCAGGGGATTCGTCTCGCCCGACGGAGATCCATACCACCGCCAACCACTCTAGGTCCAAGCGTATGGGCCTGGGTCAAAGCTCTAACGCTAGGGAAGAGACTGGCACGCCTCGATGTAGCCCGCGACTCATGACGGGTCATACCTGGGGGTTCACGTTAGGAACAGCGTCGGACGTACCGGTGCTGTTCCGCCTAACCCCCATACGAACACTAATGGGCACGTTAGTTCACCACGACGTTTGCTAGGAATGAGTGGAGCGCCATGACCGATAGATAATGCCTGCACATGGCGCTAGTAACGGATAGGGCCACGACGAGAAGCTGTCCCTATTGACGTTTACAGGGTCGGCGGGACCCACATAGAGGAGAAGAAGGACCCGGTGATCCAGATGGACTTCTTCCTCTTGTTCTCTTCTCTTCCTCCACTGTAACCCGTGCTTTTCCTTGGCCTATAAAAGGGAAAGCAGGGCATCCCACAAGGGGCATCGAAAAAATGATCGCAACACATCGCAACGAACCATCGAACTCAAATCCGATCGATCCATCAAACCCTGAACACGCAGCCAAGCAACGATCGAGCTCTCGGAACCCATTCGTTCCTTCCACTAGAGACTTGGGACATGTCCCTCTCTCGACCATTTGTAACCTCTACTATGAACTTTCAGTGCTAGTAACACGAGCAGCAACAACGAACTAAACGTAGGGACATTCTGCCCGAACCAATAAAAATCTCGTGTCCTCTTAGCACACCATCCGAGCCAGACGCGCAATATTAGAAATTTACTTATTGGTGGCAACTCGAAACACCGACAGTTGACGCGCCAGGTAGGGGCCTTTTGCGTATCTCAACATCCACACCAGGCCTCAGATGGCTAATCGCAACGTCAATCGGGTCCTAGGCGCGTGTGTGCGCCTTGGGGATCTAGACTTCATCGTCACGACAGAGGGAGAGCTG